AAAAAAGGCTAAATTAAAGTTCCCATTCAATATTGTTTAAGAATAAAAAGTAGCTGTCTTGGTTCTCTGATTTAAAAAGAAGTTTACCTAAGTCAATGATCAGATATAATCTTTTGGGGCTTTGAATTATTCCAGTGTAGGTACTATCCATGGTAAACTTAATGTTTCTATATAGCAAATACTTTACCAATTAAAATGAGTTACAGCAGAATTAAAGCTTTATTTTTTAGGTTTTTTTTCTGAATAAAAACGAATACCTCTTAGCATTTCAATGAGCCTTCTTGTAACTATATACTTAAAAGTTAAGTCGTTGCACTGAAACTAACTTATGAACAAAATTTTGAGGAGTAACTGTAAACAGGTCAAAGGCTTGTATTTGAATAAGATGAAAAGTTATTTTTTTATAGTCATTGATTTCTAAAGCTTATTCTAGTGTCTGTATATACATACAGTAAGGTATTTTGTTAGGCCTGTAATTGGCAGGATGTCAAAACTCATTAACGCATACAAGGTGCTCTTTGCAAGTACACAGGGTGCAATTTTTGAGACCTGTTTCGGAGGCTATGTGGGAATCTTACTGTTGAATTTGAAAGCTGGAGAATTGGACACAACTAAGGAGAATAATAGAGATTCCAAAGCTGGAGGCTAATGTGAATTTTCTTATTTTCCCAGGTGCCAAAAAAGTTAAGAGTTTTTATGACCAGAGGTTAAAACAGCGGTTTTACGCTGCTTTCGAATAAGTTACAATGCTTGCTTTGAAGAGGGTAGTTTCAGATTATTAGTAGGGAAGTGGACACTTGCACTGCTACTTCATTTGTTGAAAACACACTCTCCAGTGATGCAACTACAGAATCTATGAAACAGGAATTCTGATGACTTGTGCAGTCTCTGTACTGCAGTGGATTTGTTTTCCCTGCAAATAATCAATACTGATTTAACAACATGTTCTTGTTCTTTCCAATGACATTGTATCCATTATATGTAGGACATCTTGTTTGACATCTGAAATAGTTCTACTTTGTCATGAGCAGATTCACCAGACTAAATCTGCTGATTATTTAGGGAGGAATGAAAAAACTTTAGAGGAATTAGAGAACAATGATAAATTCATACTTAGAATAGTAGATCTTTTGAAGTGCCATTTTTAAGTGTTTAGCTTAAGGAAATTGAAGCTGATAAGGCTATTAGTATTTGGAACCTGAAAAGGGAAAAGTCTCTGCTACCTTTGAGGTGAAATAGGCTGCATTATTACAGCTGCTTCATGAGCATTCATGTTGGAAGTTCTTTTCTAGCCTCACGATGTTTGGTAGCTTTACAGCATTTAGAGCTTCATGAACATAGTTGTATTGAGCGTTGTAGACAATACACTGTGATTGCATATGACTGCATGTCTTCAAAAAAGATTAGGACAACAGCTTTATTTGAAATTCCAATGGAAAAGCATCCCTAAACAACTTCAGTTTGTGTTTGGATTAATGGAGTACTAATACACGATTGACCAAAGTCTCAAGAACAATAGCAAGTGGTTATCTGTAGTTTGAGTGCAAACACAAGGAAAGGAGTTAAATTTCTAGCAGAAGGTTCTGATCCAAATTATTTCTGGAATAAAGAGATTATACCTCTCTTCAAATAAAAATACTTGATATATCATCTTTAAAAGATGGTGTTACTTTGAAATAAACATAACCATAAACCAGTTTTCCACATGGGATATCTTGCTTTTGTCTCTGTGGATTTTTTTTGCTTTGACTTTTAAAATATATATATATGTTTAATTCCTATGGGTTAAGAAGTTGAAATGTTCTGGAATTGAAGTTGATAATACAGGTAGGGCTTACGCGTGTTGCAATGTTTTGTACATTATGTCTGCTGTAAAAAGAATTGATTGTAAGTACAAATGGCTGTTGTGTGAATAAACTTTTTGTTACATTCTGGAACATAGGTAGTGTTCACAAATGTTTCAAAGGTATGTTCTTAAAAATTGAAGACAGAAAAGCACAACAAACCCAGAAGCTGGATAGAATGAACTGAAGTGTTTAAACTGTTTAAGATGGGGTTTTTTTAGCACTTCCCCTTGTAGACCCTAAGCTTATAAAACAAGTGCCTTCAGGAACTATTTTAAGAAGATAAGAGAGTGATAAATGGGGATAGTTGCTGCCAAACAATTTCACTTAAAGCATAGCTGATCCACTATCTAGGAATTGCCTGCTTTAAAAAAAAAAAAAAAAAAAAAAACCAACATTTTTTTCATTCTTTTGTTTTTGGTTGCTGTAGCTCTGCTTTAACTGTATTTCTTGGAGTGAATCAATTCTCATCTATTTCTGACCAACTGGTAGTTAAAATGCTGCACCATGGATCTTAGGTGCTCTCTAGCTTCTTCACCTTGGCATGGTAGTCTGGGTTTCTGATCGTTTTGCTGGTTGGGCTGATGAAGTTTTTGTGCCTCCGTTTTTGCCAAAGCAAAATAAGAAAGTAAATTCAGTGTGCCCTGTGGTAATTACACTTCAGTTCCTGTGTGTTGTTACTCTTGCTGTGGGATATCACTATTTTTACTGGTGTTCAGAAGCAAATGGGTGGTTGTTGTCTCACGCAAAATGAGATTCAATTTCTGGAGTTTGATTGAAAGTATAATGCTCTGTGGTGTTTCAACATTAGAACAGAATTTACCGGAAAAAAAGGCACTGTGAAGTTAGTATGAAACAGTCAAGAAACTCTTCTGCTGTAATCACGAGATCAAAGCCTCTTCGTGAATTCTGGACCTAACAGCGTATATTAGTTACTTGTGATTTTTCTCACTTAAAGAAGTGGGTACCCAGTATAAACTAAACCTAAGCCAATTAAAAGGCAGTGCTTAGGTGGGTCTTCCACTAATTCATATGCCCATTCTTCAGAAGAAACTAGGATTTATGTTTCTGTTGTGGTTTAAACCCAGCTGGCAACTAAGCACCACCCCAGTGCTCACTCACCTCCCCTCTCTCCTGACCACCCTGGTCAAATGGAGAGAAGAATCAAAAGTAGAACTTATATGTTGAGATAAGAACAATTTGCTATTTGAAAACAAGGTAAAATATTAAAATTATAATAGGAAATAATTATGATAATCAAAAAGGGGAAAGAAACCCAAACGAACAAGTCATGTGCAATACTGTTACTCCCCACCTACTGACCAATGCCAGATCCCCTCCCTTCTGGGTAACTTCACTTGTTTACATACTGGGCATGATATTCTGTGGTTTGGAGTATTCCTTTGGCCAGTTTGGGTCACTGGTCCTAGCTATGCTCCCTCCTAGTTTTCTTTTGTGTACCTCCTCTGAAACACACACACACAAAAAAAAAAGTCCAGCACAAACCAAAACATGAGTGCGTTATCAACGTTATTGTCATGCCGAATCCAAAACACAGCACTGTACCAGCTGCTGAGAAGAAATTGAGTCTCTCCCAGCAAAACCAGGATTGTTTCATGGTGTTCAGCCTGGTATCTGACACAAATGGAGCTTATGGCAAGAAAGCCATTATGTAAACTAGAACAATGATCACTGAAGGCGGTATGTTAATTAATCTTGTGGAGTGAATTAGCTTCTGCAAGTTGTTACTCCATGACTTTATTCCGCAACTTTACGGGAGTCACAAAAAAAATCTTAGTTTTATTCAAGCTTAATAAATACTCAAACATACCTTTGTGAGTGTGATCCCAGAGTACTATTCTTATCACATCTTTCATATGCAGTGAGAGGACAGGAATCTCTTTTTTAGATTCCAAGTTAAATGTTTTGGGTTTTGTTTTTTTAATGAGAGATTATTCTGTCCAGCTTTTCAGTGTACAGGCAGAACAACATTAGAATTTTGAGTTATTGATAGAACATATTGAATATTTCAAGGGGTTTTTTTTTACCTGTGAATAGAACATACAGCTGAAGAGGCTCTCAAAATTTCCTCTGGTAAGAGATTAAATAGAGGATGGTCATATCTTGTTTGGAAAATAGCTGAAGTAAATTGCTTTAGAAATATGTTGAGGTATAGAACTGTGTTAATTTTCAAATTCTTTGCTGCTACCCTTTCTGATTCAGTATTCAATGTAGATCAGAGCATTATTTAATGTATGCTACCTATATTTTACAGGTAAGAGTTTTAGTGCATCTAATATGAGCTATTCCAATTGTGCAGCTTTTTGATGAGCCTGTTGATCCAAGTTTGAAATAACTGGGCTTGATGATTTTAAATCCAAGTGCTAGCGGGTTTTTCGGTTTTGAGACTTAAAACATTCAATTCCAAGCACAGTGAAAGGAGTGACCTTTAAAGACTGACAAGTGTGTTAATTCAGTATGAGAGTTGTTAAACGTCGGATTTGACAATGCTAAGGTCAAACAAAAATGCTTTAGAAGGAAAAAGACACTTTTTTTTACCTTCCCTCCTTATTAAAATTTATTTATGAAAATTACTTTCTTGTAGCTTGAAGTGTGAAGTCCTGGAGATGATAGGTGGTCTTAGTGGTTGGTTTTATAAGTACAAACCAAGTAGTTAGTAAGTTTGCATGTTCATTGCTCCTAATAATATACCTTTTTTTTTCTCCTGATTTTATATTTTCCTTTTTGCTTTCTGCAGACTTCAATGTCTTTAAAGAAAGATTCCCAATAAAGCCATAGTTGTCTAGGTTTTTGAATTAAAACCTTGTTAGCTCATGCAAGTGCAAAAGCATGTGTTCTGTAACATCATCTTGCCTTGAAATGGAAAATAAAAGCATGCAGCTACTATTTATTAAAAGTAGTCAATGACACTTTCAAAATCAGGTTATGATTTCATTAACTGTCTTAATTCAACCAGTTTTTTAACTTAGTGAGTGGAGCCAGAACTGCAAGAGTGCTAGTGCAGGGCAAGGCTTTCTGTCTGGTGGTAGAAGGAAGAAACATTTCTCAGAGCAACTGAACAAGCTGAAGTAGCTTATCTGAGTATTGAAAGTGTGTGAACTTCTTAAAGGTGTAATCTGTGCTATCACATTGCAGATGTGCCATTTAAGCAGACATCTTCTGTTGCTGTAGCAGGGGCTGTGATTGGGGCAGTCCTTGCTCTTTTTATCATTACCATCTTTGTGACAGTGCTGCTGACCCCGAGGAAAAAAAGGCCATCCTATCTTGACAAAGTGTGAGTATGTGTTGGAATTTTTTTTTTTTTGTTCAATGGAAAATAATGCATAGAAAGCATTTGTTCTATATAGGAATGTAAATGTCTGAGTTTACTTAAAAGCTATTCAGCTGTCATGATTTCAGGGCTGTATTTTCAGAGTAGAAAATATGAAATCATTTGTATTTTTGTAAAAGAAATGAGATCATAAGAGTGACTTCAGAGGTAATATAATGCTTTATCTCTTCAGAAGGGTTTTTTTTTTTGAAAGAAAATGTATAGATTTAACTGGAGGGCAGGGGAGAGTTCCCTCTTGACTGATGCCACAGACTACTAGTTTGCTGTACCTGTGGGTCTAATTTGAAAGCAGATTGACCATGCTTTGCAGAAGTGAAGGCCTGCTAAGATTTATTCTAATATATGTGTAAAATTAAGCAAGCACCCACAGACATGTACTTAGAAATGAGTGACTTAATGTGCTTTCTAGTTGTTTCTTCAAGTCTCTGGTGCAGACAGGTGATTTACTTTTTTGAGCATCCAAATGGTCAAACAAAAAAGAAGCAAACAAAAAAAAGTCTGAAAAGATTTTATCAGTTAAAGTGGATGATGTTTAGACCCTGTTTGGAACATGCATAAAAAGTGAGGATGGCTTTAAATATCTATCTTTAAATATCTTTAAATATCTTTAAATAGAAGTATTTTTGTACATGCAATATACAGTGAACTCTTAATGAGAAATGAAAATGTCTGTCATGTCTGTATATATACTTAATGGGGAATAGAATTAAATAACTTAGAGCCTTTAGCATAAAATAAGTTTCCTTGTTTGCATTGAGCTAGCAAGATGAGTCAAGTGTTTACTTCTGAGTAATTTCTAACATGGTTAGAAAATCTGTTTTCTTGTTTGTTTGTCTTAGATTCTGTAGCTGAAACATATTTATATGAACAGTCTTAAACATTTAAATTCTTTTAGAATCATTTGCTTTCACTGAGAAGGTTACAATGGAAAAAGTCTTGCATGCAATAATGGATAGTAAGGCTTTCTCAAAGGCTTTTTAAAGAAAGGCTGTAGTTAAAAATGTTGCTCAAGCTGTATCTCATAACCTAGAAAACATGATAGATAACAGTAGTTCCTAACCCTACTTAGTTGGAGTGTATGGGGAGAGGTTCAGTCTACTTAACCTCTTATAGGGTAAAGAGTGAATTATAGGTGCTGCTTTTCTACAGAAAGTGTGTGGCTGAATGATTGCCAGTGGTGGATGTGTTACATTACAATATTTCACGTGTGTCATTGGTGACTGAAAGGTGTGTGTCCCTGAATACTGAGTGTTGGGTGATTTGGCAGTTAAATAATATCTGACCATTCAATTGGACTTCACAAACATGACATGTCATATTTGATTTCTTTACTACAGGATCGATCTTCCACCCACTCACAAACCATCTTCGTGTGAGGAGCGAGCATTCTCAGCCCCACAGAAAGAAGCTATGCTTCAGGTGAGTAAGTGGTTATATACAGCTTAAACCGAGGTAGGGAAAGTGTTAACTTTGTTTTGTTATGTTTAATTTAATCTGAATCTGCTTTCTGGGTAATGTATGGATCCTTTTAGTTGTTTTGCAGCCAAGCTGTTTCTCCACATGTATGATATCTGAATCTCTTATTCTTGGTGTCAAAGTCATCCTTAAAGGTCAGGAAGCAAGTAGACAGATCATTTTTGTATCCCTAACAACATTTGACAGACACATCTCCTTTTGAAGTAGAAAAATCTATAGTTGAAATTCCACCGGGATTAAGAGAATATACATAGAATATAAAACAGTCTTCATGGGGGGGGAATATATTTGGTAAACTTAAAAAGTGACTTCATCATCACCTTCCTTGCTTGTAACAACTGACATTCTTTCAAGCTGTTAATATTTGAGTGGTAGGGTTATATTGGAATTTGGGCTTTGGCATAGCTAATTTACCAAAGTATGGGTTTGATTCTCGGTGAAGATCACTAAGTCACTTTGAAATGCTTGCAATTATGTAAATTCTATTTTTATCCTTTTTTTTTTCTTGCATTTATCAGCAGCAAAAGATCCTGTACAAAATCTGAGACAAGTACTTGAATTTTTAATATGCTTTCAGGGATAATTTCATGTCATCTAAAGTAACGCTGTCCAAGCAAGACAGCAATAGGCAAAATAGTTCCTTACCAATGTCTAGTGTTTGTGTGGGTGTAGTCTGATCAAACAGGATCATAGAGGTGATACACTGGAAAGCTAATTCTAACATATGAGACAGTTAAACCAAGTGGGGGACAAGGAAGGATAGGACTGCCCTTCTTTGTTCCAGCATGGCTTTGAGCTGGACTGGACTGTGAAGCTCCAGGTGAATGTGGAAGGCATTTCTTGCACTAGGCAGCATAGAAGAGATCTGTTCATGGGAGATGGCTTCAGCTAACATCATTGATTATTATATTTCATAAAATAAATCAGTCTGTTCATGAAAACTCGTGAATCCTGACCGCAGCCTTCAAAGTGTCTTTCTCTCTCTCTCTCTCTCTCTCTCTCTCTCTCTCTCTCTCTCTCTCTCTCTCTCTCTCTCTAAATCAGTCAGTCTGATTTTTTAGATTTCTGCTTACACTGAAGAAAACTTCCATCACCTATTAGTACCTCTAAGAAATAAATTGTAACTGTTTTTAGTGCGATTTTTGTTCCATCCTCAGTACATTGTATAAATAACGTAATTCCAACCACTGTTGTGCTGAATTATAAGACTGAGGTAGTTCAGACAATCATTTGTTTATAACAAATACCATTTTTCCAATACTCTGGTGTAGCTTTGCAGTTGTAAGGACCCATAAAACTCTTTTTTGATAGAAGGAAAAAATCATCCCCTACCTTCAAGAAGGATTTTGATGGCATTCTTAATGTTGAAAATATTCCTGCACATTTTCTTTGTGTGATTGATGGTTACTGAAGCTCACAAATATCAGTTGCTGATAAAAGACTTCCTCTTTCTCATGAAAGGAATGCATGAAATCAATACCATGTGTTGCAAATATTACAGTAATACTTGTGTATATTATTGCTGAGTGAAGCAAGAAACTCTTCAAAGGTCCATTGCTACTTTTAGTAGCAGCCCAATGATTATAACATTATGAAGGTAGAAAACATTTTGTTGCCATAAAGTGTAGTAGGTTTTTGTCATCTTGCTTAGGAGGTGGTACAACACCTAAGATGACACAAGAGAACCAGTGCTTTTCTGTGCTCGGGTTGGGCATCTTGTGCTAACTATGTAGTAGCTATTTCTTCTGTCACTACAGTATGCAACAAGTGCAATTTTTGATGAATCATGCCTCTGCTAATACAATCCTATGCTTTAAGTATTTGTAAAAGATTGTCTTATAGAACGAAAAGATATGGACTGTTGTGTTATTTGTGCATCAGTAGTGCTGCTAGGTGGGAAAATGGCAACAAAATGCAATTATTTATCCTTTACAGAGCTACTCATAAAGTGTGTACTTTATTGTTTTCCTCTTTGGAACTCTGCAGCCTTTGAATTCTTTCTTGGTTGTGCTTACTGTAGCTTCTGTAAGTGAATACTTAAAAACTAAGAAATAGTAAAATGTTTTATGTAACTGTATTTTGTAAATAGAGGAAAAAATCCTAAACAGACTGAATTGAATATTCATTTTCCTCAAACTATAAATAAATACAGTTTTAAGTTGTTTTGGAAGAGGAAGAAGAAAGATCTAGTTCTTCAGGCCAGATGTTAACTATACTTTATTTAAAAATAATGGATGTTGGCATAACATTGTTAGTGTACCTTTCTTTCTCTCTCTGTGGAACTCCAAAAGTGAAAAGAACTGGAGCTGAAGGCTGGGTCTTCCCAGCTGATACTACCTATGATCACATGTACTCTGTTAGCTTGAAGCAAAAGCTTCTGCTTTATCTAACAGAAATGAATGTTAAAATACTGGCTTTAGCTAAGAAGTGATTGGTTGCCTTGTTTTGGTGTACCAAGCCAACACTTGGATAGCTGTGAAGAGGTTCAAGAAACAAATTAATTAGCAGCCTGTCTTGTCCTGTGTGATTGAATGTATGTACTAACCACAGAACTCATGTTCCAAATGCTGCTGAAACTGCATTATCTACCATATATGAGAAGCATTCTGGTGAACCTCTCACTGGGGAGTTCAGGTGTAAGCTTCTGGTTACACTGAAAACACCTGTAGGGAGAGTGTCACTGCGTTGTCAGCAGCAATAGATGATGGGTTCAGTCTGAGTGGAAATAATAGGCTGCACAAAGGTGCAAAAGTACTGTGAAACTGAGTACTCATAGTTTCTCTGTACTGGTATTTGCAAGTACCAATTCATATGTTCGTGTGAATCACTTCAGAACTGAGAAGAACTGGTTCACTGAGGCTATAAAAGAGGGAGGCAAAAGTCCAAAACACAGGAATATTAAGTAGAACACAGGAAAAATAGCATTATAGTTTAATTTACTGTGAAGACTGTTGGTTCATCTTTTATCACCTTTTTTAGCAACAAAGCTACTGCTTTTGTCTGGGTGTTCTTTTAATAATCATTGTCATGGAAATGCCACTCTGTTACTCAGAACCATTTATTACATGTAATGTGAAAGAGTAGTGAGCAGCCTGAAGGTTACGTCCTTAGTGAGAGAGGAATCTCTGCTTGGCAACCGAATTTTTGAGGCAAATCAAGAAGTTGAGCAATGGAAGAATTCCAGTGGCTTGAAGAGGATTTTTTTCTGTTGCGTAATATTTAAAAAAGCAGTGGGAGAGGGTGTACTAATTCAGGCAGTCCTTGGAATCATTAGATTCACTGTTTCGAAGGATATATTGCTAAGAAGCAGAACTTCTTTGCTTGCCTTGAAACGTGACTGAGATGGGTAGTCTTTGACAATGGGAAAGAACTGAAGCTATTACTAGCTTGACAGGTGCTTCTGAAGGAAAAAGGAAAAAAACATTGTTTTGCATAATGCAATGCAACATTCAGAGTTCTTGAAGGATTCAGAATTTAACAGGGCTCTTGTGTAGCAACAGAAAATAAGAGTGGATGAAGGGAAGTACAGCCCAGTAGGTAGTTCTGGCCATGAGAAGACTGATTTTAGACTTGCAGCTTGGAAGAATGCCTCACTTATTTAACCACACAAACAAGTCAAATGCTAAAGCTCTTTAACAGTAGTATTTCTGTTCCTATTCAAAACAGGAAAGAAAATGGTGAAATTGTCTTAGCATAGTTAAAAGCATATAACACCATTTACCAAATGACAATATTTCTGAATCAAATTGGAAAACATCATCCATAGTACTCTTAAACCTAGCATAATATTGATTCATTTATAGATTGTGGTTCCCTTTCACTCTTCTAGTTCTTTTCCTAATGCTCTTCATGCAGATGAAAATACCTCTTCCTTGATGAAAACAGGAACAAGATGGAATTGTTGGTGAGATAATTGGTTTAGGGTTTTGAAGGACTGTTTGAGAAGGAGCATGCTTAGAGTAAAACAGTGTTTTTATGAAACTCTGCAAAATGTAAAGGTAAGGCAATGCAAACTACTGTTAAGTATCAGCACAGAACCCCAGATACACTATCTCTCCCTACATAGAAAGAGTGTAGCTCAACACCAGTTTTATTTGACAGAACCTGATGATTTTGGTTTTATCACTTGCTTCATGGCTGTAAAATGTGCAGCTTTATTCTCTAGCAAAGGTGTTGTCTTTTCATGCCATGTGAGATGATTTCCTTTGTCTCTAGTTTTAATTGAATAAATGAACTAACGGGAATTTGCTCTTCTGCTTTCCAGTGTTTGTCTTAATCATGTCTAAGTCCACTGTTGGTAGAATGTCTCAAGCAGGAAGATTTTTTTTCTCACAGAACATTAGCCTTTGGTGAAGATGGGGGGGGTTCTTGTTCCCCATGTGTGTTTTGCCTTCTTGTGTGGTAAATTCATGCTCTTAGCTCAGATGTGAAAGACCAGTAAGAGGATTTACCAATCCTGTTAAGTGGTAAATCACATATTCTCAGAATTGGTCTGCAGATTGCATTTCAAGACTTGAGAAGCAAAAGCAGCGTGACTTTGAAATGGAATTATAAGACAAGAAGTTTGACAAACAAAATTTGGAATAATAAACCTGTGAAGATGGTGAAAAATAACTTTTGGAGAAGTGGAGAAGATAGAAAATATTAGATGATTTTTAAAGTAATTTTACAATGCATTTGGGGAGTCATATTAAAAGTTAAATAACTCAAAGCTGCTTCAAAGCTTGAACTAAACAAATGTGGAAAAGTAAAAGGCTATGGGAAAGGAGGAGAAAAGAAGGAGAAACATTACTGAGATTGGGTTCTTTTCAAAATAATTTTTTCAGATGAGAGCCCCTGCAAATATTACCTACCTGTATGAATACTTGTTGCATAGGGATTCTGCCGTAAGACCAGCAACTTAGCTACTTTGTGTTGTTGCTACTACTGTGGGACTATTGGGAAAACAAGGAATTACAAAACAAAAATTATAAAATTGTGCTAAAGTTGTCACTTGATCCTGTTGTGCCCCTTTACTAAGTGTGACATAAGGGAAAGAACTTAATTAAGAGTGATGATACCGTAGTATAAAATGTATCCTAAATCATAATTCTCAGCTAACATTGCTTGGTGTGATTAAGATTGGCCAATTACTCAGACAGTTGGTGATTATCTGGATATTTGGAAATAAGCCATTTCACTGATAAAGTTGCTCCTTCATAATGGTGAAAAAAAAAATGAAAGAAGGGAGATTTCGAGTCATCTGCATTAAGGAACTTCTCATCCACCAACATCCCCAAGTCCTCCTCAGGGCTGCTCTCAATCCATTCTCCACCCAGCCCGTATTTGTGCTCTGGCTCAGGTGCAGGACCTTGCACTTGGCCTTGTTGAACTTCATGAGGTTCGTGCAGTCCCACCTCTGAAGCCTGCCAAGGTCCCTCTGGATGGCATCTCTTTCCCCCAGCATGTCAACCACACCACACAGCTTGATGCCATCAGCAAACTTGGTGAGGCTGCACTCAATCCCGGTGTCCATGTTGCCAGCAAAGATGTTAAACTGCGCCAGACCTGATGTCAAGCGCTGAGGAATGACACTTATCACTGGTTCCCACTTGGACATTGAGCCCTTGACCACAATTCTTTGAGTGTGACCATCCAGCCAATTTTTTATCCACCACATGGTCCATCCATCACATCCATGACTCTCCAGTTTAGAGACAGGGATGTCATGCAAGACAGCATCAAATGCTTTGCACGTGTCCATGACATCAGTTGCTCTTCCTTCATCCACCAACACTATAACCCTGTCATAGACAGACACCAAATTTGTCAGGCACAGTGTGCCCTTCGTGAAGCCATGTTGGCTGTTGCCAATCACCTCCTTATTTTCCACATGCTTTAGCATAGTTTCCAGGAGAATCTACTCCTTCATCTTACCGGGCACTGAAGTGTGACTGACTGACCCGTAATTCCCCAGATCATCTTTGTTTCCCTTTTTAAAAATTGAAGGTTTATTTCCTCTTTCCAAGTCAATGGAACTTCACTGGACTGCCATGACTTCTCAAATATCATGGATAATGGTTTAGTCACTTCCTGCACCAGTTTCCCCAGAACCTGCAGATGTATCTCATCAGATCCCATGAACTTGTGCACCTCCAGATTCCTTACGTGGTCTTGAACCTCATCTCCTACAGTGGATGGTTTGGCTGGGGAGGAGTTGATTTTCTTTGCAGTAGCTGGTTTGGGACTGTTTTGGATTTGTGCAAATAACGGTGTCGGTGAGTCAGTGATGTTTGTTGTTGCTGAGCAGTGCTCACACACCATCAGGGGCTTTTCTGCTTCTTGTACTGCTCTACCAGCAAGTGGACTGGGGGTGTGCACAGGAGGTTGGGAGGGGGACACAGGTGGAACAGGGGACCCTGACTGACCCTGATCTTCTTTTCCACCAGCCACTGGTTTATAAAAAGGATTCTGAATGGTTGTCGGTTAAGACACTTCCCAAGGCAGAGTGTATTTTGTGATGACTAGTATTTTTGTATAAACCAAACCTCTTCTGCAGTGTTGAATCTTGACTTGTTTCCACTGTAACTTTTCTTCTTTCAGAAAGAACATTTTGCTTTGCAAAGCCAGTACAGAGAGAAAGATGCTGGAAACTTGCAGCACATGGTAAATAATAAAATGGCTTGAATTTCTAAATGAAGCTTTGATTTCATTTTGTTCCTTAAAATAAGCTTATAAAGATGTTTTTCATTAGCAAAAAAATATTTGTCCATCCTGGTCAATAACTGTTCGAGGTGTGGGTTTACTGTTCATGAAGTGAAAAGTGAGGATACCATTTTAATACCCTGTAGTAGTTTCACTGACTAATTTAAATATTTAAACACTACACCTTTGATTTTTTTGTTGAGTAACATAACAAAGCACAGGAGTTGCTAACAGACATTTTCAGAATTGGTGATTTGCTCATTAGATTCATGGAGCTTTAAATTCTAACTTCCCTTGAAACAAAAAGTTCAGCTTAACTCTGAATAGTTACTAATGCTTCTTTCATGTCTGTTAGTGATTAGAATTTTTAAGTTCATGTTTCTTTATTCATAGGACTGTTTTGGAGATCATGCATCTTTTATTTTGCTTAAAGTTTTAACAAGAAAAGGAATTGCAGGTTCTATACATGAAGTATGAAACTCATTGATTCTTATGTGTATTTAGAAAGCTGTGAATGGAAGGCAACTTACTTACGAGGCTGAAGAGCCAGAGGAACAAGAAGGTCTTCAGCCTATGTATCCTGTTTATCAGCAAACTTACTACAAAAACTGGAGCAGCAGATACCCACAAAACTCAGGACCTGGAAGAGTCTACATCAATCCAAGGGAGCATTATGTATGATTCTGTACCCAGACGTCTTTAGCAAGGCTTTTATTACCTGTTGACTTGATGACCCATATGTCTCGTTGGCTTTCATCTCTAAAATAATTGGTGTTTTTTTCCTGTGGGAAGAAATTGCATGGAGAATTTCATATAGGTAAACCACAAGGAGTTTGAGACCTAACCTGCTTCTAGTCTTGGGCATGTATTTGGTTTTGTAGTTATATCAACCTGCCAAAAGAGGAGAGCCTTTTAGCTTTAGTCCTAAGATGCATAAACTAGATTAATTGGTTGACACATGCCAAAATGTAGCTAAGCTTTTCCCCTGGCTATTTCTTGGACCATTCTCTCCCTGGATGGATATTTTTACAATAACTTGACCTATGTAAAAGTGACTAATATGAGCAAGACAGCTGAATCCCTTGTGACGTTAATAGTCCCGGGCTGAGTCATTTTTTCACAGCTTAGAAAACCTGGGAATCATTTTGACTGGCCTTAGCTATTGATTTCTCAACTAGCTCTACCTCTCCCAGTCAAATGAACAACTAGACTACCTCTCAAATACTGACTGGCTGTTTCATAAAGTATGCTGTGTGTCTTCCCATCTTGTTAAAAGTGAAGCAATTGCCTTACATCAAAAACTTTTTATTTTCTATTGATTCTGCCTGTTGATGTGCATGCTGGTTTTGGTTTTACAGTTAGGTCTATATGAAACTTGGTTGGAAGAAGTAGATGACTAGACAAGACAGAACTTTCTGTAAGTGTCTTATGTGAAGCTACATCATACCTATCAGTTGCTATTTAGCCATTTTTCCAAATATGACTCCTATTTTAAAGAGTTTACTTGCTTGGTAATAAATACATTCCTTGCTTTCTTCTCAGTTTGCAGCAAAACTGCCTGGGATGTGTTCTTATGTCTTAGCAAGAAAACAAAGACTTCAGTCAACTTCAAGGACTTTTCAGCACTGCCCTTTAACCTTAACCAGTAGTGTGAAGTAAGTGGAGAATATCCTGATGTTACCAGTGCTAACATTATCCCACATGAAATCTTGTGAGTGTGGGGTAATGGTTAAAAAAATGTGCTCAGGATCTTGCCAGACAAATAAGTTTTCCTGCGGACTAAAACATAAATATTTAGGAAGTAAAAAAAATGTATATAATGTATTAGTGCTGAAATGAGCTCACAGGGCAATCCTGAAATATTTTAAGACAGCGGAAAATAGGTTGGGGTCTAAAATTTGCTGGAGAAAATTAAATGGCTCGTTTATTCTCTAAGTACATGTACACGTAAGTACAGAATAATGATTTTCATTAGATGACCTGAAGACAAAATGTTGAGAAGAATGGGTATGTCATACTGAACATGACTTCCGTGGTGTTAGTGTGCTCCTCTGCAGATGTTTGGATTTTTTAGAGGCAAGAGTCAAAGCTGTAGAAGCAGCAGAATTGAAACCTAGCATAGTGAAGTGTGCTGCAGGCAGGAGGTCGTTGTTAAACCTGTATTCAACCTGCATTTGTCTCCATCGTAGTAAAAGTTAATGAGATACCTCTCCACAATAGGGTGAGGTAAATTAGATGTTTCTAGCTTGTTACAGGTAGCAGCTAGAAGATTATGGCTTAGGTGCCTGTGTTCTGGGTGCTGTAGAAGCAGATATTAGCTGTTCTCTTGCTAAGCAGCTTTCTGTTATATGATGTGGTTGAAGTTGACAACTGAAGGAATGGCAGGGAAAACGGTTGGAGAGAACCTGTTTCTTGGGAGCTATCTTTGCACCACTGTCACCTTGCTTTTCTTTTAGGAACTGAGCACATTCATGTAAACCGAGCATCTGTTTTAAACTTTAAAGCTACCTGCTGTATTTGAGACCTAAAGTAGGGCTTATGTCCCCCAAAAATATGTGTTCCCACAATGTCAGTTTAATCAGCTACCTCTTTCCGTGAGCCTTGCCTCACCTTATACTTACGTTACTGCAGCTCCAAAAAACCTCATCTCTCAAAACATGGAAAGAAAAGTGTCTTGGCCAAACATTAAAACACGTGGAATGACAGACGATTCCATAAATGAATTGTACCTCTTGAGATAATTTGATCAATATTACTGAAGAAAATTTCATACCAAAAATATGAGGATATACATTATAGAGTGGTTCAAAACTATTGTGACAATGCTTCCTCTGCATTCATTAGTACAAGGTGGTGTTGAGGAGGTGGTCATTTCAGTCCTTGTTATTTTGGCAGATGATGTAAAAAACAATTGTTTTGGGTTCAGACCTTTTCTATGGCTTTTTATTCTTATTTGCAGATACATTTTTGTGTGAAGAGTTAAAACTTTGGGGGAAGGAGGGAGGAAGGAAGAATGCTATCAACAAAGCTATAATTGTTTTTTTGAATTTGTAAAAATAACTTAAAAATGTAGTCCAACTCTGTTACCCAAGTTATATATCAACAAAGAAAGTTTGAATTGCAAACTACCCATCAGGATGTAATTTGCCCTAAAGTCATTAGCAAAATATATTATCACCTACAGGTTTATTACCTGTGAGAAATGGTTTTTCTGTAATCTGTTCAGGGACATTAACAATGTGTTAGCTTTTTGAATTGTTGCTTGTAGTCTTCAATGTGGCTGAATTTTGGGAGAGGGGATTTGGCATAGAATGCTCAGAAGAGAACAGAAAAAAGTCTGCTGATTAGGACTTCCCACTGAAAGAATTGTACATATAGAAGTAGGTTTGATCTGCTTTTTCAAGATGTAGAAAATGTCCTTTTTTATTTTTGTACATTTTCAAATGCTTGTATTTGTATTTTGATTGGAATAAAAACATTCAAAATATAAAATTTTTGTATATTGTTTAGATTTCAGATTGCTTAAGGTATGGAAAAATGGATCCACTTTTTTGGTGATAAGTTTCCTCCTCTGTGGTTGCATATGCAGAGCATGTGTTTTTTCCTTACAGTGCCACTTTTGAATGTCTGTGGTGTTGCCTGCTGAAATCCTTTCAATATTTATTTTACATAACAGGAAGCACATAGTACTTTGTGAAAATCTAGCACTTAGGTAAACTGAACACCCAAAATCACTGGTGAGGGAGGTAGGAAAGGAGGGGAAGATTAGTAATTCACATCTCTAACTTTGATAAATGTAAGCTGTCCTCTGCTCAAGTATCTTTAAATTCTACAGGTTAGTCCAATTATGGAAAGTTATAAGATTTAATGTTTGGAGTATCCAAAATGTTTGTGGATACAATATATATGAAAACTAAGAAAATGTACTACTAAAAGAAGATAAACACTAAGCAAGATAAAGGACTACTGCTGTTCAGTCACAGAATTATCTAATGTATTGGGTATCCAGCTCAAGGAAAGCCCAATAAAAAGGCATTATAATTCATGAAGAGTGGAGGCAAGGTTTTTACCTTCAGAGTTCTTAAGTTTAGCTTCTTTCTGGCAGTGTCGCTGCTGTTTCCATCTCTGAGTGACACAAATTCAGGTGCAGGAAACTATACTGTTGTATAGATAAGTGATTAAGATGTATCACAGTAACTTTTTGGGTGCCACAGACCTGAAATTGTTCTCTCTGAACCACTGTGTTGTTTGAAGGCTCTGCGTGTGAGTGCTGTAGTAACAGGTAGCAGCAGAGCAGTCAAAATTGTTTTGACAGCTCAGGTCACTTCACTGTGGGAGGTAGCCTGGGGTTTTCTGTCCGCCTATGGTACATGCCCAGAGTATTGGAAGACTAGGTTTGACTTTTGGAAATGCATTTATTCCCAACAGCAAAGCTGATGCTTCATTGCAGTTTACACACATAACGTATCTTACCAGTGTCATTAAAATATTAGGCTTGAAATCAATCAAGGTGGCCTGAGTTTTCAGTGGTGTTCCAAAGCTGGTTTGGATGGGTTTGTGCAATTGGTGGCATAGATCTCTGCAATACTGTGGAAACTTAAAAGCACTTGACCCATTTTTCTGAAGGTGTTTGAAGATAGTTATGTTCTAACAATGTGCTAAAAAGATATGTCAAAGTTACAGTAAACTGTGACAACTAGTAAAAAGCAAAGGCAGAATAATGGTTGAATATCTCAGCAGAGTAACACATAATAAAATTTTTGGTGTATTTGGTAGATTGCTTAGAAAATTCAATGGCATTAAAACCTACCAGTGTTCATTTATTTTTTGTTGTCTGTGTGTGTCATGACGTGTAACTGAGATGATATACTTTGAAAATATTTGTAAGCAATGAAGAACTGCTAGGTGGGAGTGTCTTTGCTAATAAACCAGTGTGTGAAAGGACCTGATTGTGGGGAGAGCTTTCTGAAAGAACTTTGACTTTTGAAGTTTAGGCAGCTTCTAGATATTACTGTTCAGCACTCTGCTTCTGATATCACTGCTTTGAGAAGTAGAGGCCTATGATTTCATCCTTAGTCAAAAACTGTACTTGTAAAAGAGCCTACCTGGCAAAAGTAATGGTTCAAAGTTCTAACAACCTCAGAGTTCCTTTCTGACAGAAAGTAAAGATTTGATGTTCCTGCCTTTAGTCAAAGGTGTGGCATTGTTCTTGGTCATTAGCTTAGTACCTTTAGCTGAATTATACTGAATGAAAATGTACAAAAAATAGGTTGCAAGTAATAATTATTCAAACAATGTGAAACCCAAGTAGAGATGTGTTAAGCATTTTAATCGGCACTGACAACCCCTCAGGGAAACTTTTTCTAGTCTTGTTTTGTGATCTTACTTGACTTAATTTTATGCTGTATCGAAATCTAGATCCTTCAGTTGCCAGTAGAAAATGAATTCTATTTGGGAGCCTACAAGGCAAGCTGTGACTCTTTTACCCTTTGTATGACTAGTAATCAAGACTGTAAATTGGAATTTACCTCACAGTTTTGGGACCAAGTTGGAAACCAAGTAGACTCCAGCTTCCTCAACAGCTGAGAAGAATTTGAATTTCCGTGCAGGGCTACACACAGAATGCACAGAGTATGTGAAATATATTAAAAAGTCATTTCTATTTGACTGAGGCTAGACACAGGTTTATTATATTCCAACTTGAAATGTACTCTTCCACTAGGTTAAATTAGAATTATAATCCAACAGAGATTTACAGGAAATAACTTTTTTGATACTGATTGCCAGAGGAAGAAGTTTGAATATTTGCTATTGCACCACACTTGAATTTGTTCCTGTTCTGGTAAAACTTTAGTGGGTTCTGAGTTTTTATGATGCCTGGGACCATATATCAGGTACTGTTCTTAGTGTAACTTGGTAAATTAGATGTCTTTGACTAAATCCTTGTCTACCACTTTTGCCTCTGGTTCCATTCCAGTGCCATGTGACTTCAGTCTAAATACTGGAAAGTAACTTCATTTTTACATCTGTGTGAAAATAGTGGTCTGGCTGTATTGGTTAAGGATTGCAAGTGAAGTATTTAAGACATGTTAAGACTGCGTGTTTTTTTCCCTTTGTCCTTTTCCCAATGTTCAATTTTGCTTGTTTATTATTGTCTTGGATCTCTGAATTCTTGCTCCTGGTGGTCTTGCTGCATTAGATCCTGTCCCTAGGGACATGTGCCTGCAGTTTCAGTCTCCCTAATACTTCATCTTGCCTGTCCCATTAAGAAGTGTGTTATAGTCCTCTGTATGACTTCAGATATTCTGTGTTTGAACAGTGCCTTTTCTTGACAGCAAAATACTTTGGGCCAGTATTTGTTTACACAATTCAGCTTGTAGCAAACTCCAGAAAATTAAGTTTTTCCTGCTGATTTATGGCTGTATGCAGTATTAGGTCATGTGCAGTGCAGCAGTGGACCTGCTAAAGATGCTTCAGCCCTTCAGACCTACATGCTGGCTGGTCAGGGGAGAGACAGACACCTGTCTGAGCATGGTCTCTGCTGCCACCATAGTGTATTGTACTTGCAAGAAAAAGAGCCCACAGATCTCTAACTTTTCTGAATTGCTCTAGTAATTTGAGAATAATTACTTTCAAGCACTATTTGTGGCAAAAGCTGAATTCCTTGTCAAGTATGGTAGGTAAAACATAGAGCAGTTGTATTTCTGTCTTTTGACTAAACTGGCTCTTAAAAGACCAGACTTCATCTACAGATGTGACTACTCTTTTCAAGTATAAAACCTGAAGCAGCCTGACTTTAATCCCACAACTAACAAAGTCCTTTCCTTCTTTGACATGAATTGAGAGGAAAGAGAGAAATGGCTATGGGCAAATAAAATGCCTTTGTATTAGGTTTAAAATCCAGAGTGATGGATAGCATCAGTTGGAGATTGGTTTACCCAGGTAGGCTAAGCAAATGAACAAAAGGCTTAAGGTGGCTGGAGGAAGACACACACTGTTTCAGAGTACACTACTTTCTTACTAATGCTTGTGATGACTCGATGTGATGCCTACTGTCAGCTGGATCTGTTTCCCATCACCAGGAATATTGCTAGAAACCCTGGATTAGTAGCAAAACACCAACTATGGGTTAAGGCAAAAAGTCTCACCTGTTCAGTTGTGTTTTGTGTTGGCTCATCAAGCAGTTTTAAAACTGGCTACGAAAAAATTGGTTTAGCAGTCTCTTCCCTAGGATTTCCATTCTTTTTATGTTCTTGGCTAATTTATTTCTCACTAATAAGTCCTTATTAGGGCTTTATTGACGAGAAAATACCTAATGCACTTGTAAGATGGAGAATAGATTCTATTTTGTTCCGTATTTGTCTCTCTCTGCTCTGGCTTCTCGGGGCAGTGTTAGTTAATTTTCGACTCAATATGGAAATGCTTGAGATTCGGTGTTGCATAATTTTTTTCCCTCCGCTTTCATGTTGTGTAAAGGCATGAGGGCTGTGGAGTGTGCATGTATGTTTAACTGAGACATTTTCCAAGTGGAAAATGGGTAACTTATCAACATCAGCTATCCTTCTTATAGCTGGAAAAATTACAATGATGCAGCATTGCAAATGGTTAAATCACCTTACTTTCAAGTGATACATGACACAGGGTAAGCAAGAAAAAAGGCAAACGCGGAATTGTGCTTGGAGGAAATGGTCCTGCTTATATTTAGACTACTGCAATATTTAGACTACTTGCCTATTGCCTTCAGATATGTCCTAATAGCAGGAAGAATCCGGTTAATTTGGATGTCGACGCTACTTAGCTGGTTGTCGTAAATTGGAGTAGGTTATCCCAAAGCCGGTTTCCAGGCGAAGTGAGAGATTTAGACTTGTCACTTTCAAATGTGTTACTATGAAATCACATCCAAGTTTCACCATCTGCTTAACATTGGATCTAAATAGCTTTATTAAATTAAATAGCTGCATAGCTGCACCCTAGTCCATCAAAAGATTCATCTAGAAAGCCAAATATAATTGAATTTCTAGTGTCACTGATCAGGCTCGAGTGCATGATTTGCACAGCAAGTGTAATTGACCCCATGGATATCTATGTGAAATAAAATGCCCAGTGGATACTTGTGTCTAAAAGCATTGATTATATAGTAAGTACTTTGAGTTACTGTATTGGGAAATAATTCAGTCATTTTGAATTAACTAAGAGAATCTGTTCTTTTTAAGAGAACTGAGGGAGGGGGGTGGAAGAAGCTGCTGTCAAGACACAAATTGGCAGCTTAAAGTAGAAAACAACTTCGACTACAATTGAATAGCCACAGCAAGTAGTGACTTTGTCTTCTTTTGTAATGGAAGCTTCAGCTTTCAGCTAAGTCTTTCTCTTGTAAGAATGTAAACGAGCTTACCTGAAGACGATTCGGAACTTTTCAAGCCTTTGCTTGAAACAGCTATCAGCCTTTTGTGTCGAAGGACAAAGCCGGGGAGATGCGCGATGGGGATGACTGA